CCTCTTCATTTTGCCCGCACAGAAGTTTAAGGGCATTTTTCTCCTCCGTGAGTCCTCGGAGGTCGGTTTCATACCGACTCAGCTTAGCTCGAGACCAAGAAAATGCTTTCCGATGAAGCACTTGTAACACCTCGAAAAAAAAAATCGAAGTATTTAAGTGGTAAGCCTGGTAAATTTTGCAAAGAAAATAATGTTTCATGGTGTCAAACTAGGCTTACGTGTTTGAGGATTGTAGGAATTCTTCCCGGTGAGCTTGCGAGCCGCGGCTCAAACTTTTTGGGTTGAACAATACTCGAACTATGAACACCTTCCTAATTTTGATTCAATTTGTTATATTTCTACAATAGATTGAAGTTGCTAAGAATTCCGGAATATTTAGAGTGTAAGGAAGCTCAAGTGAGGTATGTTGGCTAAACCCTTCTCTTAGAATTGAATCCCACGATATTCATGTAAATTATGTAAGTCCCAAGTGATTCATTATGAGACTGGCCAATCCAAGTAAGATTGGGTTGAAAGATATATATTCAACAAGCATCCAAAATGCTTTATTCATGTTATATTACCAATTGAGGATGTGTTAAAATATGGGTTGTGCATTAATAATGTTTTGACTTTAAGTCAAGTTCAAATGAAGGCTATTATGCCAAATTTTGTGAAATATCTCTATGTGCCTTCGACTCTAAATTGCTCACATGTGTACTACACACCTTCATTTGAGTTGTTTATGTTGTTGATGATGATAATGATATTTGAATTGATAAGGTGAGCATGAAATACTGAATACGGCCAACGTGCCAAGAATGACCTTATAATTATGGCCATTAGTGCCAATGAAATGAAAAGATGTGAAAGTAATATGAAATGCTATGATTGATATAAAAAGGTTGATGTCTCAAATAAGACAGCCTAGCCGGTCGGGTCGTGATCGGATACCATGCCGCACACATGGTGGTGATTGTGCTAGAAATTGTAATTGAAATGGTAATTGTGGTTGATGTCCCTAATGGATAGCCTAGCCGACCGGGTCATGATTGGACTCCGTGCTAAAGACGGTGGTATTGATATTGAGAGAAATTGTGGTTGATGTCTCTAATGAGATAGCCTACCCGATCGGGTCGTGATTGGACTCCGTGCTAAGAGTACGGTGGTACTGGTTTTGTGAATAATGGTATTGTGAATAATAGTATTGTGGAGAATGGTATATCGATACTAAAAATCTCGCAATGTGAGATATGGAAATTTCTTTGAACAATGTCTTGATCCTAAATTGAGGTTTGATGTTGATTAAAGCTTCCTTTGATATTATGATAATCTTGTTCGTATTATTTGTCATTCTATTGAGAGGGTGTTTAGTTATACATACTAGTGCTATTCGACAGTACTAACGTCCCTTTTGCCGTGGGCGCTGCATCTTTCAATGGATGCAGGTGGTTCCACAACAGGAGATATTGATCAGTGATAGCAGTGCACCTAGCTGACTTGGTGAGCCCCACTTCATTCCGGGGTCATGAATCTTTTGTACTTTGTGTATTCTGTTTGAGGTATAGCCGGGGCCTTGTTGCCGGTATTATCATTGCACCCTTCTTTATCTATAGAGACTTCGTAGACATAGTGTGGGTTGTGTATTGGTGCTGGGAAAGACAAACTATGCTATGTTGTGGTTGTATTACTTGTCTATTTGAGACTTTAAAAATGGTAAAACTTATGGTAAGAAATTGGTAATTGCAGACATGACCACTTTATTGCTTAATTAAGGAAAACATATATTCTCTTTATTCATGAATGAGTTTGGGTAGAAGAAATCTAACAGGCTTGCTCGGTCGGGTTCACTCGGTTGAGCGCCAGTCGTGCTCCTCGGTTTTGGGGCGTGACAGCGCTGAGGCATACGCAGAAAGAAGAAAAGAAGTTAGACAGGAGGAGAAAAATGAACACAAGGGTACTACCAACATGGGGAGTTAAGGCTTACCCGATTCAGAGCTTGCGGTGCTTCGTTGAAAAGGCTCAATGCCTCGCCCGAGTCCTTCCTCGAGACCTCTAAGTCACTCAGGCCGGTAGCATCTTCGACCCCAGTAAAATAATCACGGAAGGGATCTTCCCTTCCGTGGCCTCCTTCGATAGAGAGGGTCTTCAAGTCCCGAGCCTCTTGAATCATCTCCTCGGAAAATGAGGGGAGCAGCAGGGAGCCTCCAATTTCTATTGCCCCAAGTGGATCACTTGGGGCGTTCTCTCCATCTCAGAGGGCCTCGATATCAGCCCCCGCAGCCGTACCCACCGTTGGCTCATTATGGTGGGAGGCACCCTTAATTCTCAATGACTCGGGGACTTCGCCCAAGTCTCTTCCCGAGACTCCCTCATCTCGAGATGGAATTTCTACAGCCTTCGCCGATTCAGTAGCCTTAGGGGCTTCGGTGCTCATTTTCACTTGGGCCACCAGCCCAGAGTCGTCTTTTTCCTCTTCTTCGTCTTCATCCCTTAAACTCTTAATAGAATCTTCGATCAGGACGATGATGTTCTTCCTCAGCTTATGAGCCACCTTCTTCTTAGGTTATGGATCCTCGGAGGTTGAGATCTTTTTTCTCTTTTTGTCCTTCGCCGGTTTCGGTGCCGGGATCGAAGTCCTCTCCTCACCACATAGGGGCCTCACGACAGCATCTTTGCCAAGGCCTGTATGAAAAGAAAATAAGTAAGAAATGCTTTAACAAAATAATCAAAAATGTGGGAAAGAGGCTTACCATGAGTTTTGGCCTCCCATCGGCCCTTTGATAAATCGCGCCACGAGCGCTCGACATATGTAGAGGTCGAGGCCAGGTCCTGAACCCAGCTCTTGAGGTTAGGAATTGCACCAGGCATCCAAGCAACCGCTACATCACGGAAAAGGATGTCGATGAGAAAAAAACATAGGAGCAAAACAATAAATAGGAGCTAACAGTGGGATTATACTTACGCATCATATTCCATTTCTCGGGAAATGGCATCTTCTCTGCCGAGATTAGGTCGGAAGTCCTCACTCGAACGAACTGGCCCATCCAGCCTCGGTCCTTATCCTCGTTTATGCTCGAGAACAACGCTTTGGTAACCCGGCGTTTGAGTTTTATTAACCTGCCTCGATAGAGACGGGGGTTGTACAACCTGATGAGGTGGTCGAGGGTAAAAGACATCCTCTCGACTTTGCTCACGAAGAATTGGAGCAGAATAACAATTCGCCAAAAGGAAGGATGGATTTGGCCTAGGGTTATTTGATACTGACGGCAAAAATCAATGACAACGGGGTCGAGTCCCAACGTGAAAGGGTAAGTGTAAACACTTAAAAACCCTTCCACATGGGTAGTTATATCTTCTTCGGGAGTCGGGATCACCACTTCTTTGCTCTCCCAGTTGCAATCTTTCCTTACCTGCTTAAGGTATCCCTCAGTTATCGAGCATATATACATCGATACTGGCTCGCATCGACCGGGAACCGATGAGGTTTTATCGGTCTTAAAATCAGAAGCGAGGACACACCCCCCGGGAACACACTCCTCAGGTCGTGGCTCCACCAGTGTGTTTTGTCACCAGCTGGCTGCGATGAAGAAGCATTTTCTTTTTTAGGAATAGTTTTTGACGTTTTCGCCATTTTGATTTGAAGTTAAAAATAGAGGGAGATGATAAGATTTGGTGCTCTAAGAAGAGGTTAACAGTAAAAATCGCAGATTTGCAGATGAAAAACATAAAAGATGCAAAAAAGAACTTAGTAGATTTGGGGATTGGAAGTTTAAAAGTGAAAAAATGGTGAAGAGATGAGCTATTTATAGATTTGGCAATGACGGATCAAAATCAACAGTGGCCGGCCATCGTCTGACGCGCATTTAATGACTTGGTAACTGAACCGACGGGACATTTATCACGTACGTCATGGTCGGGCTCGATGCAGACGTCAGTGTATATCTAGTCATATCGTTAAAAAATTATATCGTTCCTCGCCACATTCTTTTCGAGAAACGAGGGGATTATCTGTATACGGTCAGATCCGAGTTTGCCATTCGTGTAATTAGTCAAGATTGGAACGTGATGAACCGAGGGTCGTCATTGTAACATCGAGATAAGAAGTGAAGCCAGGTTATCGAGCTCAAGATTCGGGGACCGATCATTATCGAGCTCGAGTCAATATCGAACTATGATATGAAATTGTGTTATCGAGCTCAAGAGCCATAGACCGATCAATACCGAGCTCGAGTCAATGTCGAGCTCGAGTCAATATCGAACTCCAGATCCGGAGATCGACCAATACCCAGACCGACCAAGATCGAGCTAAGAGACAAAAAGCCGTTGTAGCCGCACTAAGAGAGAGAATCTGAGCGGGAATTAAAGAAAAACTAATTAACTAATATATCATGGGATCCCCACTATGTATTTTTTATTATATCCAAAGTAGGATTTTTTTCACTATATTAAGAATAAGTATCATTTCTATAAAGGGGATCCAGAGAAGCATTCATTGATATACTCTCATATTCAGAGATTATTGAGATTTACACACATAGAAAAGATTATCCTTTTTGGGGCTTTGTACATCGATTCATCTTGCTTGTTCATAAATCATTCTCTACTCAATTTGGTTTGTATTTCATTCTTTTTTTACAGTCAATTTTCGATATATTTCATATTTGTACCAAGTTATATCACTTATCTTTAGAACTACGTATAAATTCAACTCTATCCGTTTTTCGGGTAAACAATATTATTGCTCCATAGCAATTTGGAATTAAATCGTAATGAGCTTATTTATTATTCAAGAGAATGAGATATACCTCAACATGATATTTATACCATTAAATTTATATAATAGAGTATCTTTCTAATTGCGTTGTTGCCTTGTCTTGAACAAAACCAGGCACATTTTCTGTATAAGCAACCTTTAGTAAGCGTTTCCAGATAACTGCTTATATTTGGGTATAGTATACCACGAAAATGGCCAAATAAAACCATTATGAAAACTCCAGGAGGAGAAAAAAGATCCAACAAATAGAAACATGCAGAGATAAACATTGATAAAAATTGACCCAAGTATATGATAAAAGTAAAAGCAGCTGCGGGCTACATCATTTGCAGCCACTTCAAGCTCTATTACAGATGGCCTTTCGCTTTCTCTTTAACCATCAACCATACTGCATACTACTGTTCCTTTTCCAATATTAGTCCAAAAAGCTGATACACAAGCACTCGGAAATCACTTAATTACACTATTAGTACTCGCCCCCCCCCCCCCCAACACACACTATTTCCTCACACACACTGAAGTATCTTTTTGATTTCACTCTATTCTTCCCCTCCATTCACTTTTAAGAGGAAAAATATTTTGGAACAATAAAATGGGAGCAAAAATTTTAAAATAGAGTAGGGAAAATAGCCAGTCAAATCTTCAATTGTGAATAATTTTAGACTTTGAAATTCTTTCCAGTGAAAGTTTGGCCAAATTGCCAATGAGAAGGGACAATATTCCATGAAGTAGAAGAGCGATGGTCACTGGCTTTGACCCTGAAAGAGAGGGATTGAGCAGTCAAGACAGCGTTTGATTGCCAATTTTGACCCCAGTTGCGGCTCAGGGAAATCCAGTTAGTCTTTGACCCTTTCACCCACACCTTTATTATGTCTCCTGCACCCGCCACGTTGGTGATCAATACCAAGTTGAAGTAACGGAAGCCATTGATTGTGAATCTGATTCCTCCTCGCTTTCGGCATGGTATCCTATGAATTACAGAATAGTAAATACATTGTTAAGAATAATGGTAACAAACTTACTGTTAAGGTAAAGAATAGTGTACGGAGTTATTATCCTAACGTGTTAAAACGCAGGGTCCCACTTATATGTGATAAAAGGTCAGAAGAACTCAGAGGAAAAAATGGTAAGGCACATGGAGGTTCTTGAAAAAGTTTGCGCGTAGGTACAATATGTAAGATTTTGCATTCGTACAACACCAAAGTCAAAGTGAGTTATATTAGGCAAAATTGCTTTTGGCCACTTAAAACTTTTAATGGTTTGTTAATCCGGTAAATTAACTTAGAATTTTTTTTTGAACACCTAACTCAATAAAATGGATATTGATAAATATTTCTGATCGTTGACTATGCTTACGTGGCATTGACATTGTCTATGTGACAAAGGTGTGTGCAAATCACGCTTAAAAGGCGTGTTTATAGAAAAAATTTGATTAAAAAATATTGAAATAGAAATAATTATAAATAAAGTAACTAAAAGAATTAAAAAAAAAAAGCAAATATAACAAATCAAATTCGTCCCATCTCCCCCTTTCTCCGTCCCCCAACCTCAATACCCTTCGTCCCTCTTTCCTCTTTGCTATGTCATTCCTCTATTCCTCTTCTTCCCGTCCCCAATCTCTTCATTTTTTTTTCTTTTCCCCTTTCTTCTTGTCAAAAGGTGTTTCAGTTAAAAAAAGAAAAAGAGTAGAAGGTGGAAGAAATAAATGTGTGTGAAGGATTGGCTTTACAAGGAGAAGATGGGATGTTTAGTTCGAAGGATAGTTGGTCTATTAATGAATAAAGAAATTGATAATAGGATGAAACTGTATTGAGGAGATGGAGATGGGGATTGACGCCGATAACATTCTTTACTGCTCCGTTGCCGGACCAAATTACTTAGCGGCTAAAAATGATGGAGCTGGCCGGTGAAAATGGTGGCTTTGCCGAGAACTAAAATCGGTAAGTAAAATTGGTGATGACGAAGAAGGCACAAAAGGAGTAGTCTTTCTGTTACATTTAGGTTTGGCCATTTAGGCTTGATTTGCCAGTGTGTGGTGGTGCTGGTGCCGGAGTTATGGTGGAGCAACAGTTGGGACATGACAGTGATAAAGAGAAAGAAAATAATAAATTAGAAATTTGATAAATTAGTAATAAAAATATAATACCCACAAACTACCCGTGCCGAAAAATAAAAAGTCATAGAGTGTGACTTGTCATTCTTGTCGGGGCAATTGAAGCTCGCTCTGATGATGGATGTTGGATGTGTTTATTAATATTTATTTCATTGAGTTGAGGGAATGAGAAAGTTCTAAATTTCTTTACTGGATTGACAAACGAGTGTAAATTTAGGTGGCCAGGCCATTTTACCTTTATATTATACCATGGTCCACATGATAAATTTGATGTTGGTGGTGTGAACCCGTGATATTTTTCTTCTATTTTACGGGTTTTCAAGTTCCTCAAATAAAATAGAAGAGAAAGTGGCAAAGGTGATGCTTTATAGCATCCCAAATCACCGCAACAGCTATGATAGAAGCAATTATTGAGGGGTCGTTTGGTAGGATGGATAATCAAATATAATTTTAGGATAAAAATTTAATATCGCATTATTTTTTGTTTGGTTACTGGTCTTGGTATAAATTATACCAAAAAATAGTAACCAAATAATTTATACCTAACAGATGGGGTGGAATAATAATCCCTAGATTAATTATTCTAGAATAAAATAGTAAAATTGACAATGTTAGAATTAATACAACAAAAATAATCTCAGTACAACTAATCTCATCATAATTTGTCTTCGGACCAAACACCTCTAATAGTACATGCTTAAAACATACTTGTAAGTAACATTACGATAGTTTATATTTTAAGATTTTTTTTATCGAGATTGTCCAAAAATTAGTATGTATTGCAATAAAGAGGAAGAGGACATTACCGGCGATAAGTAACGGGAACAATGCCAGCACGGTACTGGGCGATGTTGAGGAACATAGGCATGGCAAGATCAAAGTGAGAACGTGGAGGATTGCACCATCCACCATTGTCGTTGGGCTTTGCGTAGTTTGGTGGGCAGAAATTGGTGGCAGTGATTAAAATGGATGGGCTTCCGGGGAGACACCACTTCCAGTTGGGATCATTAGTGCATTTAATCTCAAAGCAAGCTCCACAACTTAACCCATTGTTAAACAAAGCTGTGCTCAGCGCTGCAGTGTTCACTCCGTACCCTTGGCTGTACAAATTGCCGTAACCACATGCACCACCTGCATTATATAACCAAAACAAAATCATAGAGGGAAATTAAAATAAATATGGACATGGATTTAATTTGTACCCATAGTTCCGGAAGCATCACTGCCACCATAAAATGTAGCATGAGCAGTCTGCCAAGAACCACCAGAATAAACACCAGGGATTCTTGCTTCAACAAGAGAAACGAGGAAAATTAGACCAATAATGGAAGTGATGACTCCCATTGAAGCCATTTCTTTTGATAGCAAAAATGGATATCTTAGTGTGAGAGGAATTGAAGTTGGGAGTGAAGAAAATTGGGAAGGCGAACTAGTACTTATGGAGGCAGGGGAGAAGAGAGAGAACAGACGTGAAAGAAAATCATGAAATATCTTCTCCTTAATTATGCCTATAGGCCCTATACCCTATTTGGTCCTCCTTAATCAAGAGAGATATTGGCGGAAAGTAAACAATACCAAAATTCAACCTCTACGGTAAACGGAAAACATTTTTTTTTGACGTAATTGCCATCAATCTCTTAGCATTTGATAGTCATGGCTTTGCGGGCAATGTGGGAAATTCATGGCGTGAGAATATATATTTTTTAATTTGATTGGAATATATCAGGTTAAAAAGGAAAAGATATGTGGGTCCACAGCACCATAAGGTCTTGGATGAAACAGTTATTGCCACTTTGCTTTAATTGCAAGTTGTGCCATCAACACTCCCTCTTTCCAAAGATTTCCATAAATTCCTTCCGATTTTTCCATTCCCACTTCTGTCTTTCTTTTTTTATGGAATTTGCACTAGCTGAGCAACTATTACTTAATTCCCATCCTTCTTTTTAAGATTCCCGTCATTGTCCGATATTAAAAGCTTAGAGAATGTAATATTACAAGTGCAGTGCCGGCTCCAGGGGAAGCCACTAAAGCAATTGCTTTAGGCCCTCTAGAATTGAAGGTCCCAAATTTTTTAAATTATATATTATTATATATTATAAAATAATTAATATAAGATATAAATTTATATATATTTTTGGAATGTGATAGAGATTATTTAAAAAAATAACTTGAGTTTTATAATCAATATGCAATTTATGAAAGTAAATAATTTGATGACAACTTTGATAATTAAAGAATGCAGTCTCTTATATCTTTAAGAGTTGATTATTTTATACAGAGTGGATTAAGACATTTTTCATTTCAGTAGACTAGAACTATTTCAGATACTGAAATTATACTGACATATATTTAGTGGTAGAAAACTGCGATTATCAGAATTTATAAAAATATTATATTAACTGTTAATATATGTTTCTTATAAAAATATTATTTAAATAATAGAATTACTAATATTTTCAATGGTGAGAACTAGTAAGTAAATGAATGAATGATCAAGATACGTGTAAAATATATTAAATTTATTAAATAAATTTAAGGCATTTTTGAGGTTTGGCTTTAGGCCATCAATATCATTGAGCCGCCCCTGTACAAGTGTCATGCCCCAAATCAGGGGAAGCGTGATCGGCACCCGGTGCCATACTCGGCACGAGCGTACCACTTTGTAACTATGAACTTTGAAAGGGTAGCCCTCAACTTAGGCCGACGAGGCCTACCTGCATGCTGGCAATACTAATCAAGGCCAACGAGGTCATATTCTGAATCATCTGAAAATAACGTATATCTCATCCGAGGGATAGACATACCCAAAATTTCATATACATAATTGTACAAGCTGACGAGGTTGCCATGAACATCTACAACAAGCAATACCAAACTAAACGTGTACACATGGCTGGCAAGAACACAATACAAACACACAAAATATAAAGGACCCGTCTACAATCCTCTAGAGATAACAGATCTGTATCATGGTCGGGACAGGGCCTCGAGCTACCCATCAAACCTGTATATACAAAATGGACTTCCAATTCTAGACCTGGTAACTCCGAGGGAGTGGAGCTTACCAAGTTGATGTTTGGCTCTATCTACTAGGAAGGTCTATCCGGCTGTCTATCAGGACCTGCGGGCATGAAATGCAGCGTTCCCGACAAAAAAGGACGTCAATACGAAATAATGTATCGAGTATGTAAGAAAATAGAATAACTTAAAGTAGAAACTGAACTGATAATATAATAACTGAAAGTAAATGGGAGTCAAAAATGATCTAAAGATATGCTTACCTACTGGTATTGACTCAACTCTCTTAATATAGTAAGTAAAATAGTTGCCCGGCCCTATAAGGCTCGGTACGTGTAACTGCTCAGCCGTAGTAGGCTCCATCATAGGCGCTCGACCATACTAGGCTCGGTATCTCGGCCATTATGGGCTCGCTCATAGGCACTCGGCCACAGTTGACTCGATATATAACTTATCATTTGATCAGANTATAGAGAGAGAGAGAGAGAGAGAGAGAGACCCTCTGTTCTCATGACTGAAAGAAGACAGTACTTAACTGAATATAATATCCCGATAAGGGAGAATATTATAATTTATGAGACTAGGATAATGTACATAAATTCAGGAATATGAACTTTTCTTTATGCCTAGTTATCAAATGCATGTAGTTACGGGATCATGCCAAAATAAAGAAAAGGTTTAGCTTTAACATACCTTATCACAATATGTAGAAATAACCACGTTGAACTCATCTCGTTGCACTTTAATCTAAAACAACGATAATAATGCTATCGATAAGCTACGAAAGATGCAACTATCGTACAACGAACGACAAGCTTATTTAATATTAAAATGGGCAGTATCTTTCCTGTTTTCCTTACTTTTCCAAGTCCATAAAAACAACAAAAACACATACAACCCTTCAACTATATATTTTCAGCACCACAACACATCCAACAACCCAACAACACAAATCAATCTACACAACAACAAGTGCACAAACGTCACTAATGAAACTACTATTTAACATGACGAGCGGCAAGCTTGGATTGGAACCAAATCCCAACTCTTTTTCCCATATCCCCCATACTTTCATCACCATCAACAGGTCCAACATATAAATATATATATATTGACATGACATTCCAACCTTATATCCATCTTAAAAGTAACCTCAAACAGCTCAACAAGAGATAACAACAATATGAACAACTTCTAGGTATTGTGTGGTTGCTTCTTCTTATTATTACAATATCATCAACATACTCAATATATTGAAAAGCACAACAACAATAAAAATATTATAACCAAGCTATTCCCCATGATTTCCAGCATATGAAGTCATATATACAACTCGAAAATAGTCCAATAAGAGACAACAATATCTTATACCACTTCAAATGCTATCTTGTAGTTCTTCATCCAAATAACTTAACTAATACATAGATAAGCTTAAGAACAATCAATATGGAGTTATACTTACCTTAAATAATCAGAACAAACTCAAACCAAAGCTTCTCTTAGCTTACAAGCACCCTTAATGACATCACAACACCATAGAGACTCTTTTCTTCACTTAGGCTAACTTTTGAGGTTAGGTTTAGGTAAAACCACATTGGATTCGCCTTGGAACCTTGGAGAACTATTAGAGAGGTGTTGAGAGAGTTTGGGAATTGTCCTTGGTCGAAAATGACCAAAAATGATCCTTCCAACCACTTTAAAATGTTCAAGGGTCGTCAACCACCTAAGTGGGCCACATAGGGGCTGCCTATGCAGTCTCGCGAAGATGCGAATATCTCTCTACTCCGATATCGTATCGATGAACGGTTTAATGCGTTAGAAACTAAACTCATAGATCTTCAATTTGATGGGTGGATAACCCTATAAATCCAAGTATATTGGGATAAAAGCTCAGTAATATTAGACCCAATTTTCAGTAAAACCTATGAACGTAACTTGTGACTACTTTCATCGACTTTTGTTCCATAACTTGCTTGACTTCAAAACTTAACAAAGGACTATCATAAGACCAAAATAACTCATAACATAACCTCCTTATCATATTAAGTACCGTAGTCTCACCCCGAAAATATGTGTTATAGCATTCCCAACTTGTCAATTTCAACGAAACTTATTTTGTTAAATTCGTTTAGCTTCTAAGGCTTTCAACCCTCTTGGTACTTGTTGTTCATGATCATAAATATTTGTAACCTACAAGGTAGCATGATTAACTTACTTTCAAAGATGATCTCATTTTCGAGCTTACATCAGTTGACTTACGGCGTACTTTTACGTACGAAAATATGGAGTGTAACAATAAATGACGTAAAAACCCAATAAAAAAGAGTGCACAAATTCGAAAAGAAAACTTCTTCTTTGTTTAATCACTAATCTCCATTCAACTAAACCTGCCCCTTCCTTTTTTTTTTCCTCCGTAAAGAAATTAGAGTCTTTCAAACAATTTAAAAAATACAAAATAATACTTACTACCTTATATTATATCAAACTTGGTCTGACATATCTGCTAATTGTTCTATTTTCACATTTGGTAACATTACGACAAACATTTTTTTCTTAGTAATTGTGCGGGTTAATATATGTTTGTGTTTACCCGTAAAATGGTACAATTGAATTTATATGTGGTTTCTAGATAAGTAAACTAATCTGGTCCTGAAATAATACAATAATTAAAGAAATATACAATACTTAGCCTTAAAATGTAGATGAAACAACAGAGATGACAGTTCCAGGAACAAGGTTTTCGAGCACAGCAATGATGAGATCAAAAAGCGAAAAAGTAAGATTATATTAAGCTTTGTACAGAGTGTAGTGTAAGCTTAGCCAGAAAATTGGTGTCCTTTACAATGATAATTGGGCTCACTATTTATAGTTGTGTCTAGGGAAGGAGGTCCTAGGATCGTGTCCTCCTTTAATGTCAATTATGAGGGTCATTGGTGAAGATGTAACGGTGAACATAAATGCCAAATTCTCTGTAACATGCCGTCGATCTTAATGCTGTAGAATATTCCTTATTAAATGCTACCAGGCGTAGAGCATTTAATACAGCTTTATGAATGTTATCCCTTTCGGTGACAAGTAGAATGGCTGCGTTCAGTCTTCGGCCATCCCCATCTTGGGTTCCACGTGTCTTTCCTTTAGATGACCATGTGTCATATCATATTTCACTCTATACAGATAGTCCTCCTACTTTTCGGTGACATAACTTTGTGTTACCGAAAAGTTGGTAGAAACACTATTTTGGCGAGAATTACTATAACTCCCTCTGAAGGCTTCTGACGGTTGATTAGATGCACGTTTCTCGGCATTTAATGCCCCGAACACGCATCATCCCACAATTCAGCACAACTTTTGCCGATTATCGAGGTAATCATGGCCATGAATTTAGCCACCAAAATTTAACTTATACGCATGATTCTTTTCCTTTGCACTTCATAATTTCTCGAGCTTCTGATTTGCATCTTTGTTCTCCATCCTTTCT